TGAGATTGGCTGTGTGTGTGTGTGTGTGTGTGTGTGTGTGTAAACTTCAGTAAAAGTTTTCCACTGAGGCTGCCGTCTTGAACCACATCTTTTCGATACGTTAGAAAGACATGGAGGGCGCCCCGAAAAACGTTTGGGTCTCATGGTGGTGTGAGTACCTCACACATCCATGTCCTTTCACTGATCCCAGATCATCTGGGGAAATGATTTATCTCATTGAGAACTGATGAAAAAATAACCCCAAAAAACTAAAAGAACAGCGTTTGATGCTCGCCCTGAGAGTTCACCGTAACCCTGAGCATTGACTTACAGGAGAAGTAACAGCTGCTGATGGACTCCTGATACCTAAACCTGTCATGTCATGTCATGACACGATCATGTCATGTTACGTGGGGTCCTATGTTGTGCTCAAGAAATGTGCGAGCCGAAGCGCCGCTGTTAACCTAACTCCCTGTCCATCTCTACCACAGGAGGACCGAGCCTTGATCCACGTCTGAGCGAGAACCGCCGTGACCTCCCCCGTCAGTCCTGCAACGTCTCCACGGTGAAAGGTGAAACCGCATCTGGAGATTCTGCTGATTTATTAATTCTGTGCGAGAGTGCTGTGGTCGTAAATAAAACATGTGAAGAAGAAGGAGAAGAAGAACATGTCTGGACTGGCTGTGCTGCTCCTCACCACAGTTTAGTTTTCAGCTCAGGTTACAGTTTATTCTCCTCTGACCTCAACTCACTTTTTAGTTTAATATCTGATAATAAAAACACACCACCGCATAATTAAACACATCAAACTGTCAGAGTGAAACGTTGGTAACAGAGCTGTTACCTGTGTTAATGGGACACTAGTTTACACATTTGATTGAATTGTGTGTGAAAATATCAATACATGTAATGATAAAAAGAAAGTGACGTGCCGCAGAGATACACATGCACAAACAGCTTTTATTGTTCAATGGACAATAGAACCACAGCTTTTTAAGGTGAGTTTGTTAAGTTCATCAGTGAAACTGCCAACCTGGGTTTGAAAAATCAAGAAAATAGAGACATCTATTGGTGAGACTTCAAACAGAACCACCTCTCCTCACACGTACCTTCTCTAAAAGGAGCGGGAAACTGCAGAGGTGTATAGATTGACAAAGTACACCCTGGTTTATTTGTTGACCTGGCTAATGGTGGTACTAACTTTGGAATGTTTCCTGTTGTCAGTTTCAGTTTGAGCCTCTATGGTACCAGGTGCTAACAACAGTCACCGGGAGATAGTGATCCCGTGGAGATGTCCTGGAGTTTCCTGTTCCAACAGTCACCGGGAGACAGTGATCACGTGGAGATGTCCTGGAGTTTCCTGTTCTTTCTGGTGAGTACAGAGAATGCTGGGTCATTTATTAAAGAAGTTGAATTAAAAAGGCTAACGCTAGCATTAGCTGTTCACCACCAGATGCATCCACAGGAAAAAAAATGCTAATCCACAGCCCAGTTTTTCTTGCAATAGTTATTTAACCTGCTGTTGATGTAGAGTAAAAATATTTATCCTCTTCTTCCAAATGTTATGGCCTCATTGTTTCCCCACGTCCTGCCTAAATGTTGGTTTAGTTCCAGGCAACAAGGTTTGTCCGACTGTGACAAAACGATGTGAGCTTTAATACTCTGGGGAAAGAGCAACATGACAGAGAATGGAAAAACCATCCAACAATGATTAATAAGTAGATAATGAGTTTTTCACTGTGTTTATCCACCTCTGGAGCTCTCACAGGAAACAGAAATACTCAGTGACCGATCGACTTGACCTGCTACCATTGTGTCTGTCGCTCCCACCACTGCTGCCACGGTTTTTTTTT